CACACACACACACACACACACACACAACCCAGCATGTTACCTGTCTCAGCCTGACATACAAGTCCTGTCGGCCTGTCAACTTCCCGGAAGACCCGTCATCTCGGCTGTTCCCTCCACCGTCCTCACTCCCACCCACAGGACCCCGCTCCGACCGGCTGGACTCTTGACCATCAGCACGCCACAATAACCCCGCCCCTCTCGTCTCCTCCTCTCCACGTTTCGTTTCTTTCTCAGCGACTCCGAATAACGACTTTTTAAATCCACCGGCGTCTGAATATAATCCAACCCTTTTCCTGTTGTGCGGTGGTAATAGAGACGCACTTATTTCCGCTTCCGATTTCTCCCACTTCCTGTGAGAACTATCTGCTGTAAGTACCATGTGACCAGACGGAGAGATAGTTCCGGTTTCCTTCCGGCCATTTTGAAGATGAATTCGCTTCTTCTCCTTTTCTGTCTCCTTTTCCTTGTCCTCATTGTTAGAAGATTCGTTGGGAGCTGCTCTTTCAAATTGTGAAATGATTTTTTCTTTTTGTTTGTGAGGACTTTGGCCACGTACAGATGTACTCGTGTCTTCCTCGCTGATTTTTCGTCTTGTGTGTGGCAGTATGCTTCTCTCCTCCCCAGTTACCGCCCTTTGTGAGCTGAGATGGCTGGCAGAAAGTTCATTGGCAGGGCTCATCTGGAACGAGATGAAACACTTTTTAGTTTTAGTGAGAGTTGTATTGCAATTGCAACACGATTATGTCATGTAAATGCCGAAGATCAAAGACTTTAATAGAGAGTTTTATAACAAAGAAAAGAAGGAGAAGAGATATGGACGATATATGTTTGATAAGAAAAAAGGAGCAAACCACACCAGAGCACCTTCCAACCGCTCATGATGAAACATTTACAGAGGAAAAGGTGTAATTTGCAATTGTATGCAAGCAACCTGAGTTCGATTCGCAAGTCAGAAGAATTGTTATCGAGTATCTGTGTTCTTCTGCTGGGATGGTGTGTCCCTCTCAGCCCATGGTGGCCCTACAAGCGGAGTTGATGCCCGCTTCCTGGACGGCCTAGATTGCGTTGATGGAGCTGTAAAAATGCACATTAAAAAAACCCAGCCAATAGACACGACTTAGATAATGATATAGGAAGAGGACAGCTCCAACTCAACCTGTCAGGACCAATGGGGAAAGGGTGAAATACAGAATCTCAGAACAAAGACGAACAAAATAGTAGACTTCCCCAACAGAGAATCACACTCAGGTCATTTGCGTGCAGCAAGGGCAAAGAGTCTAATCACTGAACTTTTTGAAAAGAGAGTACACAATATGTTGGCTAGATATAGATAGAGTTATAAACTTGAACAAGAAGGCAGGAGATTTCTGTTATAAGTCCCACAATCGAGAGAGAGAGAGAGAGAGAGAGAGAGAGAGAGAGAGAGAGAGAGAGAGGGAGAGAGAGAGGGGGG